TTTGTGTGGGTGAGTTATACGGCCAAGGGGACATGGTATAGGTGGCTAATCCTAACGATCAGTCGGCTAATTAAAAATTTGATAATTAACTTTTCAATTCGTGAAAGTACAAATGGTTTCAATAAGAAACTTGCTAAGCATCTTCGAAAACTACTAAACCAACTCTGTCTAGGAAGATATAAAGCAGGGACAGAATTTTACAGCCTTTTAAATAAACGTTCAGTTTGGACGCGTTTCCCGGTTTGGTTTCTTATCGAAGCGCACCTTTGCGCCCGCTGTTTTGCTTCCTGTTACTAGCGGCGCGAAGCCACCCCCTCGCCTCCCTCGTTGAATGGACGCGGAAGTAGGGCGCACATGTGTTGCTCGTCTCAGCTACAGAAGAGCGGGACCACGGGCCAGAAATGCGCTCCGATAAGAAACCGAAACCTAGAAGCGCGTCGAAATGAACCGTTTTACCGAAAGCCGTAAAATGCTACCCATGCGTTATATCATTCTAAGTTGATTTGGTGGTTTTCGATGACGCTCAGCAAGTTTTTAATTGGAGCCATATGTCCAAGTTCACTAATTAAAATGTAAGACATTCTACATAAATAGGCCACTGATCGTTACGATTAGCCCCATATACTATGTCCCCCTGTCCTTATAACTCGTCTGCACAAACCGCATAAGTGTAGCTTTCACGGCTTTTTCTTTAACAAATCTATGAACCTTAAAAAAAAACTATAATTACAATGATGAAAGCGTGCATGCTTAATGCTCAGCTATCAATTCTGCAATCGACATACATGCCAAATACTGTAAAAAAGAAAAAAAATTAGTACATGAGATAAGGATAGTTCTTCATGGTGGAAGATTCATCAATGTTAGAAGGTTAAAATACTCAAACAAAACAAGGATAATCAAGACACAAATATGACCTATGTTGTCTTTGTGTCTTCATTGTTCTTGTTTTGTTCGAGCTTTTTCACCTTTGATCAGTATGGACCAACAAGCCCAAACCAAAGTGTAATCAATGATCAAGATTTTTTGTGCTCCAGGTTGCACAAAATTGTGGTTCATTAAACGCCAATATTACCATATAGGCTGAGATTTTCAGTTAAAATCCTCTGTGCACTTTTTTTTGTAACAGTTATCTGATATTTATTGATCGTACCACAGAAAAAATAAAGTAAATAAAGCTATATTAAGAAATACAGTTTCAATTTACTCGTACTGATTTATTGTCCAACACTTTACATTTCTATATATAAAATTATGAAGTTAACGTAGGTGAAATGTAAGAATATGGTTCGGTATTTTGAGGACAAATCGTAAGTACGGGTTTACATTTGTTATAAAGCGACGAGATAATGAACTGCTGTAACGCTTGCCTGGTTAAAACATAATGCTACGCTTTTACTCAGCTTTCCTCGTAGGCAAACGCTAACTAAGAAATTCGTGCTTGCAACCCAGTGCGGACCCAAACGTCGAAATCGTAAAACAAAAAACTCGTACGCACACACCGATTACCTTCACAGAAGGCCAGGCTTCCATATTCATAACACCGTTATGTGCAATCAGGGCCTACATTGTGTTCTAAGGATCGTTTTCCAACCGAGGGGCATAGAGTCGCCTGTTACGGCGCGTGACAATTATACACGCCATTTTAAAAAAGTATACTTAGCAATTGCTCAAGACAAAGCGAAAACGGTAGATAGCACAAAGAGCGCGAATATTAGAAATGTGTCAACTGGTCCGATTTACGTCCATCAAAGCTATTTTTTTAACTCTTGCAGTAGTTCATGTGGACAACTGAACAATCTTGACGGACCACAAAGGTCAGGTATGGACGAAGACACCGCCGAGCACCAGCTGCGATTTAATAAAGTTTGTCCGCATCGCTATATATACCGTATTTTTGTATCTATAATTCGCACCTCCCCATAAACAGCCGTTTTCTCAAAAACTGTTCGCATGTAAGTCGCGCCTTTATCTAAGCCGCACTTTACGGTGCGCTACGAAGGATGGGCCCGTGGCGTCGCTGCATCTGCGGACCTCTGTCGACATGTTTCGGAGCACCTTCAAACCTCGGAAAGAGCAGCCCATCGGCGGGTTCTCCTTCGTCGTAAATGTTCATATGGCCTACTTCTTATGGCCCCAGATACGGTGCGTACTGAAATATAAAAGGAAAACAAAAGCTAATATAAGTCGCAAGGTTGTATAAGATAAACCGACGGAAAAATTGGGAAAAAAGGAGCCTGTGACTTAATGACCGCAAAATAAGGTATACGTAAAATATTACTGATCACGTGACCCGCAGTGCTCCCGGATCCTTGCAGTTTTTGTGACCGATTCGATTACTTTCTGAAGTGACACAGAAGTAGGGTTGGGCAGTATCGCGATACATAGGTATCGCGATAGTATTTTAGAAATACATTTTGTATCTGTATTTCTGTATCGCGCTACATTTTTTTTCCACCAGTATTTGTATTCCTTTATCGAAATACATTTGAAATGTTTCTTTTTATCGCGATACAATTAGTGTAAAATGTATTTCGTTACATTTCTTGGGAGATACTCCCCCCCCCCCTTTTTCCGAAAAAAAATGACTAAACGTTTTTTCTTTTTTTTTTTTTGTACTTTTGCATGAGGGCACTTGCAGGGTCAAGGAGATGCTGGGGCATTGTTACTATGCTGACCAAGGTTCCTTACGATTCTCCAAACTATTTTTCTATGCGTCCTCTTTTCTCCTCTGAGAGGTGTTGTGTAGTCGGGGACTCGAACCAGGTGGCGTGCCAGGAGTGGAGTCAGAGCATCTTCTGCCGCACGTCCTTAGGTAGGGATTTCTTGAGTCATTGTTTGCTGGCATCCAATGCCCGCTGCTAACCGTCTCTCTTGCCTTAGCGTACACAGTACACCCAACCGGCAAAGCTGAGTCACAGTCAGGGGCGGATTCAGAGGGAAGGGTCCGGATGTCCTGACCCCCTCTTGAATTCTGCATCTATAAAAATTTAGGGCGCGGAAACGAGAAAAGGGGGGTAGGGGGGGGGGGGGTGTTAAACATATGATACGCTGACCAACACCTGACCCCCCCCCGCCCCTAAAAAATATCTGCGTCCGCCCCTGGTCGCAGTTCGTTGCAGCACGAGCCGGGCGCTGATTGACTTGAAATAGTAGGATGGCTCACGCAGTGAAGTTCAACACATATTCGAATGCGTCTGCGCCTGTAATATTGCACGGCTCAAGGGTACGTCATCAGCTGACGTGAACATGACGCGCTGCTCTGGTGATCCGAAACCCAGGAAGGAGACGAAACGTGGCCTCGCTGTGCCGACTCAGACTTCGTAGTACGTACACCTGCAACTCGTCCCGAGCGCGCTGTTTCTCGGAGAGCTCGCACCTGTGCCGGCAATATCAGGTCGCAATCCACGACGTCGCTGCTTGGGTGATGCTAGGCAAAACTCAAGGACTGCAATCTATGCGGGGCAGTAAGGACCTTCACAAAAGGGATGCCACCGTATCGTTTTTTTCAACCGTAACAGAAGAGGAGACATGTGTGCCAGGATGCTTCAGGTGATCCACTATTCTCGAAAATTCCAAATGACACTGCATGGACGATCTGGAACTGCATGGACGATCTGGAACCTACAACGAATATACGTATTGTACTTTCATACAGCAGCGTGGTAAAGTTTCATGTTCAAGGCAACACCTACAGATAAAGAATACCAGGTCATTCCACCGTGACGTCATGTGATCAAGGTTGACAGGGGCATCCTTATTGGACAGGGTAGTCGTAAAGTTTTGATGGGATTTAGGGTGACATAGAATTTATTTAGAGGTCGAAGTTTTTGGGCATCCCTCGTCACACAGACAGGATGTCAGAGAAGGGACCGCGGGCACTCCTTGATGGAATTTTTTTTTTTTTTGAGCCCATTGAAGACTTCTTGTCGTCCGAAACCACTACCATCAAGGCAAAGTGCCGCGCCTACGGGAAAGTAATTTCGCGATCAAAAACTTCCACTTCAAACTTCAAGCTTCATCTCAGTTGACGTCTCAAACAAATGTGAAAAATGTATTGCAGTTTTAGTATTTCTCTATTTATATTTCTGCCCTCTCAAAAATGTATTCCAGTATTTCTATTTCCAAATACTTTTTGCCTCTATTTAAAATGTATTTCCGATACGTATCGCGATACATTTTTACAGATGTATTTTAGTATCAGTATGTTAGCTAATATTTTAACGTATCCCAGTATTTGTATTTCCAAATACATTTTTGAGTATTTCTGCCCAACCCTGACACAAGGTTGTTCTACTGTTCTTTCTCCCTGCCTCTCTCTGTAGCGATCCTGGTTAAAGATTGTAATCTTTTAGCACAGATGGTACCGAATCTTGGCAGTAGTAGTCCTTAGTTGCTGAAATTTACTATTCACAATTCATTTCGTTTGTAACGGCCCTTCAGCTTCGAAAGAGACGGCTCAGCAGTCTATAGTATCGTTGTAAATCAGATAATTCAGAGCTGCACGTCATCAACCTGACCACATACAGTTAAAATGCCTCGTATTCAGTCTTGGTTTTTCAGGGACTTTCGTTTGGATTAACAGTGTACCACTTTCTTCATATTTCACGAAAATTATAAAACAAAACGGGTTAGGATGGAGTATATATATATATATTTGTGGCGTTGAAACGCAAACAAATTGCAAAAAATAAACGGTTGACTGACAGGCCGACAGATGAAGTAACTATGAAAATCTACGGGTATGAAAGAACCGCACCCAGGAGCTCGAGCCCTAAGGTTTCCTTTGCTAGCGACAGCCGGGAATTTTCGTGTCTTGAACCCAACCTGACCAGCCCCGGTTGAAGCAGTTTCAAATGGAGGAGAGGAACCTTAGTCGCGTACGGCGAGCTCTGTCGGCCTGATACAAGTACAACCTTAAAGTGGTGTTCATGTTCCGTTGTCATTAATTTTAGGCGCTACATAATTTTAACTTTAGGTTCTTTCGTTTTTTCTCCCAGGAGACGTTGACGACCTGCGAGAAGAAGAGCTGCCGCCTTACTTCGCGGAGGTCATCCCCAACGTCACGGTACCCCGAGGACGGGACGCCAGGATCCCCTGCGTCATCGACAACCTAGGATCTTATCGGGTGCGTGTCTCGCATGCGCCACACTCCCTGCTGCTTATTTTTACACACAAGCACGAGAAAAAAATCATGTCTTACGAAGCCTAAATAGTAGGCGGCTGTGAGTTACCTAGAAAAGGTTTTTTCGATAGCCAAACACTATCTGAGTGCTTTACGTTCATCACTATGTCGAAGATGTGATATCTGTTGGTGCATAAAGGCAACACTGTGCTTGAGTGGCCAATTATATCTGAGAACGAGATATGGAAGAGATGGGGTGATGAGTAAATGGGTTCCTCTGCCAACCAAATAAACTGTGAGATGCCGCATTTGGTTCGAAGAGGTGAAAAAAATAATTCACGAACGTGAAAATCTAGAGCGCCAGGGCGCAGCGAAATTCCCGGAAAAAAAGAAGGAAGTCAGTTTATGTATATGGCGTGCAAGCTAGCCTGGTTCTTGCACACCTCATGCGTTTATTTAACCGCAAAATGTGCTCACGTGCTTTTATTTCTCCCGACCTGAACCAATGACAGTGTGTGCTTGGCAGCTTGGCATTCACCCGTTCCCTGCGCGTTCTCCCATTTTTGTTTTCGTTTTTGACGCACTTTTTTTAGTCCTGTTGCGCTAAAGACGAATTTGGAAACACTTGCGAGCCGTATATAATCGCGAGCCACGAGTGGTTGCTCAAGAAAGGGTCACAAACTCGGACTACGCGAGTTTTGTGTTCGTTTACTTTTGATACCACAAAGATTACCTCAAAGAGTTAGACAGCCAGCTGTTTATCTGCAAGCCCCCCCCCCCCCCTTTTTTTTTTTTTTAAGTGTAGACAACTAAATCTTCCATGGACGAAACTCTGCCACGCAAACTTAAGAAATGAACCAAAAATGAAATTCGCGATTTCACAGCCAAGCGACAAAACGTAAAAAAGTCCTCCATTCATTTATCAGCAACAATTCGCTGATCCTTCTTTCTAACTTGACGCGTTTTTGATTTACCGCCACGTACCCTGAGGAAGTGACCTTCACAATTGTCACCAAGATATCCCATTCAACGGAAGCGTCAACGGAAGCGTCAACGCAGCCGGACACCGAAGGCTTCAGCCCACCCTCCCAAACCAACGACCCTTAAATGGCACAGGAGAAACGGTGGTAACGAGGTTTATCTCCAAACAAAACCTCCCGGTTTAGCGGGGCGCGAACACAGCAGTCTCGCCAAACTAGAAGCAAATGAACGCAAAAGATAGCATTATCAATGCCACACAACTTCCTAAAAACAAAAGCGTGCCTAACCCCCCCCCCCCCCCCCCCCCCCTTTTCCTGCCGTGCTCACGTCGTTCCTGTCACAACGTAAACCCCACCTCACTTCATACCAACCTTTTTGCGTGTGCGACAATCCGACGCCTGACAAAGCAGGGGCTTCCCAGATTTGAGTCTGCGGTAAGGCGAAACGTTTATCTAAAACAGAAAAGGAAGAGAAAAAAAAAGTAAAGAGGAAAAAAAATAAAACAACAAACAACTACCATACAGCACGGCGATTTGCGGGGCTTTACCGCTCAACAAATTTGTAGCCGAAACACAGAAACAAGGGCGATGAGGGCAGCGACGCGTCATCGCTAGAGCGTATCGCCTCAAATTCAATCGTGCTTGGAAAGAAGGTAACGAAAGACAAAAACCAGCGAGCTGACATGTAAAGACGGAGAACGAAACAAAGGGAAGCAGAATGTGAGAGAAAGAATGTAGGGTGGGAGGGGGAAGTGATGAGGACCGAGACAGACGCTATTCATCAGGACGCGGAGATAAGCGGCTAAGCCACGACCTGCAGCCAGTGAAGCTGCCGCCGGCGCAGCGGGGACGGGGAGACACCGTGGCCGCGTTGACGAGCGCGGCAGATTTATTACTGGGATTATACAGCGACTACGGGAGGGCAAATGATGGAGCGTTCGGGGAGCGTGCCGACGCCGCCGATGCGTTCCCTCGCCCCCCGTGCGTCTGTTTGTACAGCGGTGATCGAAAAGAAGCGAGCAAGGAAGCAGTGAAACACGTTGCTCCCCTTGTATTGTCGCCGAAGTCGTTCCTTTTATTATTTTTTTTTTTTATTTCGTTGTGCGATACAAAAAGCAACTTTAGTTTTTATAGTTTTACTTTTTTTGTGTGGAACAAGGTAGCGCCGAGAAAAGCGTAAAGCGGTTGGGCATGCGAAATAATATGAAGGTTGTCATCGGAGCGGGGTCATGCTGCGGTAATGAAAGGGGTTTCTGCGATTGTTCGTGATCTGCGAAGGTAGGCGTTCTCGGTGTACGCCTAAAATGAAGTTCTGTGCGGATTCTCTTTTATTTGTTTTTGTGGATCGGAGATATGAAAAATATACACTTGGAGCCGACATATATGTTTTTCTCTCTCTCTCTCTCTTGCCGACTCAGTTTATTAGGTTTTGTCTTTGAGATGATTATATATCATTTGTATTTAGGCAGAGAGAACGACCACAGAAGAGCGTGCTGTTTTGGTAATGTAGGTTAACGATATGGTGGGTTAGGGAATAATTCCTTCTCGTCTTTATGCGAACATTGGAGTGATCAATATCGTTATATTAATTTTGCTAGGCTTTGCTATGCCTGCCTTAATTTAAATTAATTGACAACGAGCTAGTTCTTGTTTGAATAATAAAAAGTCCCGCTTGAGGAAAAAGGGTCCCCCTTCGAAACGTCGCGGTTTTTGTGTGACTTATAGATGTTGAATTAAACCTTCAAAGTTTGTTTGACCCTCGGTGGCTTCTACTGTTATATATATATATATATGGGTGATTTCATCTCAAATCGGGCAGGCTAAAAGTGTCTAATTTTTAATTTTTATGAAAAAAATATATGTTTTAGGGGTATTTCTCACATGAAGGAGGGCGCAAACCGCATGTTCTCCCGATTTTTTGTTCTGGAGTTATGAGCCGTAGAAGCCGCAGTGGCAGAAACTAGTGTTTTTGCCTGCCGTCGCAGGTCGCGTGTTTGACACCCTCTGCTGACGCTATTGTTTTCTCTACACCATTTTAAATTTTCCTCCTAATTTAATAGGTATTATAAAGACACCTTGATGTATTCAGATATTTTTAGAAATTTGATTGTTTTCTAAAACACATGTCAAACTCGTCACTCCGGTCGCTATTCGGTCAAATTTGACAGGTCATTACTTTGTCTGTACTTAAGGTAAATTTTCTTTTTTTGGCTCTACAGAAAGCCCAAAGCAAGCCCATTATAGATATAATAATGTCATTATGATCTGTCGACTAGCCGCTCCGCTACCTTCACGTAAACGTTGTAAGAAATAACAAATGTTGAAAGTTTGAGGTCGATTTTCTCAAAAACCCCATTTTTGTAAATTTTTATTTTTTAAATTCTTTTAGACATATTAGTCGACTACAAGAAAAAACAGTCTAGAAATGTAATATTTTGGTTGTATGTCATCTGTTTGAGCTGCAATCGCGTGAAATGTGTGAACATTTCTTATTTTTCACAACGTTTACGTGAAGGTAGCGGAGCGGCTACTCGGCAGATAATAATGATATTATTATATCTGTAATGAGCTTGCTTTGGGCTTTCTGTAGAGCCAAATAAAGAAAATTTCCCTTAAGTACAGACAAAGTAATGACCTGTCAAATTTGACCTAAAAGCGACCGGAGTGGCGAGTTTGACATGTTTTTTAGAAAACAATCAAATTTCTAAAACTATTCGAATACATCAAGGTATCTTTATAATACCTATTAAATGAGGGGGAAAAGTTAAAAGGGTGTAGAGAAGACAATAGCGCCAGCAGAGGGTGTCAAACACGCGACCTGCGACGGCAGGCAAAAACACTAGTTTCTGCAACTGCGGCTTCTACGCTTCGTAACTGAAGAACAAAAAAATTGGGGAACTTGCGGTTTGCGCTCTCATTCATTTGAGAAATGCCCTTAAAACATATACTTTTTTCGTGAAAATTAAAAGCTGGACCCTTTCAGCCTGCCCGATATGGGAAATTTCATCTCAAATCGGGCAGAATAAAAAAGTACAAATTTTAATTTTTACGAAAAAAATATATGTTTTGGGGGCATTTATCAAATAAGTGAGGGCGCAAACCGCATGTTCTCCAGATTTCGTGTTCTTCAGTTACGAAGCGTAGAGGCCGCAGTGGCAGAAACTTGAGTTTTTGCCTGCCGTCGGAGGTCGTGTGTTTGACACCCTCTGCTGGCGCCATTGTTTTCTCTACACCTTTTTAACTTCCCCCCTCATTTAATAGGTATTATAAGGATACCGTGATGTATTCAAATAGTTTTAGGAATTTTATTCTTTTCTAAAAAACATGTGAAACTCGTCACTCCGGTCGCTTTTCGGTCAAATTTGACAGGTCATTACTTTGTCTGTACTTAAGGTAACTTTTTTTATTTGGCTCTACAGAAAGCCCAAAGCAAGCCCATTATATATATAATAATATCATTATTATCTGCCAAGTAGCCGCTCCGCTAATTTCACGGAAACGTTGTGAAAAATAACAAATGTTCGCACATTTCACGCGGTTGCGGTTCAAACAGAGGACATACAACCAAAATATCACATTTCTAGACTGTTTTTTCTTGTAATCGACTAATATGTCTAAAAGAATTAAAAAATAAAAATTTACAAAAATGGGGTTTTTGATAAAATCGATCTCAAACTTTCAACATTTGTTATTTCTTACAACGTTTACGTGAAGGTAGCGGAGCGGCTAGTCGACAGATCATAATGATATTATTATATCTATAATGGGCTTGCTTTGGGCTTTCTGTATAGCCAAAGAAAGAAAATTTACCTTAAGTACAGACAAAGTAATGACCTGTTAAATTTAACCGAAAAGCGACCGGAGTGACGAGTTTGACCTGTGTTTTAGAAAACAATGAAATTCCTAAAAATATTTGAATACATCAAGGTATTTTTATAATATCTATTAAATGATGGGGAAAAGTTAGAGGGGTGTAGAGAATACAATAACGTCAGCAGAGGGTGTGAAACACGAGACCTGCGACGGCAGGCAAAAACACTAGTTTCTGCCACTGCGGCTTCTGCGGCTCGTAACGCGAGAACGAAAAATCGGGAAGAACATGCGGTTTGCGCCCTCCTTCATTTGAGAAATACCCCAAAAACATATATTTTTTTCATGAAAATTAAAAATTAGACCCTTTTAGCCTGCCCGATTTGAGATGAAATCACCCATATGTATATATATATCGTTTAGTTAGCTGATAAAATGAAAATTTAAGATAAAATTAATAGGGAAAGTTTGATTTTCGAGTGGTATGCAAGCATTGCGACGATTGAAAAAGTGTGTTTACTTAAATGTTTTCGTAAATGATAGAGATCTTTCTTAGAAATAGCGGTCTCTCAAAAATGTTATTAACCAGGAGAATTTCTATATATATTAATCTATTGCTCAATCAGTCAATTAGCCAATCAAGCATTGACTGAATAAATTGCCCAATCAATTGATTGATCAATCAATAATCAATCATTCAAACATTTACTACTCAATATAAAGTTCATCAAGCAAGTAAGCAGTTCTAACAAATTACATTAGGGAATTCAGAAGAGCCGCTACACACCAAGACGCAGTTTGTTTTTCTTTCCTATGGGGCAAGTTTATATTGCTGCAGCACCTGCACTTGTGAACCAACATCTCGTAAATAAATATACTATTGAAAGAGACTCGGAGTTCATGAAGTACTAAAACGCGGAAACCTTTCGACCCTTAAGAAATTGCTTATAATACGTGACAATTTTGCTAATGATTGCTTTAATAAGGCACCTCAGCTGGTTTCGCTCTACTGCCCGATCGTTTGATTGATCAGCCAGGCCAGTCTCGTTTTTGTACGTACGTGACCATGGCGTACTCGATCTCGAAGTGGACTCCTGGCATTGGATGTGCCCTTAGATGTCGCGAACGTTCCGGACCTTCTTCGTCTTTCGATGATGCCGTGAACATGTACAAATGGCACTAAAAACACGTTAGAATTCATATAGTAGAAACTTATTGCAATAAAAAGCGGTTTTATGTCTAGTTAAAAGCTGTCTGTGAAAGACGCAACCGATGTATGTTGTGAAATTATCTAACCTTGTTCAGGAATTGAGTGTGAAAACTAAATGCAAATGGATAATTATTTCAGTTAGCTTTCTATGCAAATCTTGCTCAACGCAGATTCTTAAAAGAAACAAAACAGCGCGCCAACTTGTTTGCATGCAGCGGTACATGACGAGACAGCTCAAGTGTTTTGACATTTGCTCACCATGCCGTGTGTCACCTCTTTCTCGTTTACAGACATTGTATAACAGCATTGTGCCACCTCAAGTTGACATCACCACACCCCTGCCTACATTTCGCTGTCTGTTGGACGAACTTTTGGTCACTTCATAGCGCGTCAGTGTATATGCATATCTATTTCTTTTTTAATGAGCAGGATTTTTGTTTAAGAGTTTCTATTGTACTAATTGGTGTACCTAAAAGAAGGCCGCTCGGCCGTTTTAGGGCACCCGAAAAATAAAGATTATTATTATTATTATTATTATTATTATTATTATTTGTACGGATTTGATTTTTTTTTTAACTGGTAGCATGTCAAAATTTTCGTGAAAAGCGCGATTGGAATAGACTCAACGTCTCCCCGCTTAATGTATAGCCAGAAAACTTTCAAACCGTTTTAATATAAAAGTTTGCAGATATAGGAGTTACGTACAATGTATGAGAACTAACTAATTAGCGGCTCTTTGAAGAGCAGAGCATAATGGGACAATAGCAAAGATGATCCGAAATAGTCCTTTAGTACTACTTTTATTTCCGCAAATAAAAATGACAATGTACAACCTGGTCTTCGGTGCAGTCTGCTGACACTAATCTGCTTAGTTCAATTACTATTCCCATGCATCGAACTCAGGCGCGCCAAACACGAAAAATAACTCCCATAAAACCCCTTCGATAACGAGAGAAAAATGAGCAATAGTGCACACCGAACAATATCTTTCCTTCTTCGCCCCCGAAATCGACGTTGTGGCCAACACAGAGACCGATCTTGCTCACGCGTCTCTCCCTAATTGCGGTCGACCACAATGGCTCCAAGATGGCGCTACCCGGCAGCCGTTCAGTCCCGGCGATGGCAAGGCATCGATTTCTTCGGCACACCAGATGTCGCGCACTGATTGAAGCCGGTCTCCGATTTGACTTCCCTCGGACAGTGCCAATGAAAGAGCACTCAAACGCCTCATGGCACAATCTACAATAGCAGTGCCCGATTCGGATACTCGTGAATTGAACGGTCTTCACGCTTTTGTTGGCATAGAAGCGAAGGAACGGCGATCGAACATACATCTTTTTGTTCGCGTATATCGTAGTTTGGGCGGACAGATAGAACTTGCGTATTCTCGCCCGTCGCAGTATCGAGGCACTCTTTTTTACCGACGCTTTCGTACGTATACCTTAGGTTCCCTCTTTTCTTGCGTTTACAATGTTTTTTCTGGTGCGGGAAGAGTTTGAGGAACATTAGTAACCTGTGTTGGACGTTGTTGGCGCTCCTGCTGACTCACCCCGGTCCACATGACGGCGTCGTTTGTCTAGGGTCCTCACGACAACTGTGACAGCTGCTGAGACAGCGGTTACCAAGTTTGGCGCGGCGCAGAGCGGATACCGTCCCTCAGAGGGGACGCTTTGTCAGTGTACGTTAGTTTTTAGTACTAAAACTATAAATAAGAGTAAATCAACAAAAAAAAATAGCTGAAAAAGTAGCAAATTTTCGGATCCGTGTCGTGTCCTCCGAATGAACTGTGGCGACTGCCGAGGAGATGCACATGGCTGCACACTTAGACTGAACACACCTGCACTGAGCATTAATCATGACGTTATGTAACTTCATGATGTCACGTGACGTCATAGTGTCATGTGTAATTATGAAAATTTGTATTCGTTAAATTAAGCAAATAAATTTTACATAACGTCAAGTTTCACTGTGACACGTTATGCCACGATCGGCTTACACGAAACACAAACCGGGATTCACTACGATACCTCGCGAACAACGGCTGCCGCCATGAAAGGGCCCATAAATTGATCCAGAAGGAACGTAAATATCATATAAAAGGTAATATTTGAAAGAAGAAAAGAAAACTTTTTATCAGTTCTTAAAGAAAGAACATTTTTACAGCATGGCCTTTGATATACGAGAAATCGGGCATATTCGGAATCGGATATCACCAGGTGGTTTTAATCTAGCTGAACTGCAGCTAGCCCACTCGCAAAACAAGCGTCCGATTTCAAGATGACACCGCTGCGTATTTTGTTTTGTATGGAGAGGGTGAACGCTGCGTTGTTTGTGTAGTTGCTTATTTATTCCACGTTGCCGCCAAAACATACAATGAGGAGAGTACGGGACGACAAAATACGCTGGTTGGCTGTTTTTCTTTCTATACAAAGGAAAAGCACCTATGCAAACTACACGTTTGTTAGTTTGGCTGCTCCTTTCGCGTAGGCGCTGTTTTTTTTTACAGTCAATTTCGCGCCCTCTTCTCATATCACATCGGTGAACAGTTCGGCATTAATGAGTAGAAGGTCACCGTGCTTGTCCATTTGCACGTGCGCGTACACGTGCACTGTCGATTTGGCTTTAGAAAGACGAAAGGGATTAGGAGTCCCGCGTTTTTTTAGTTATTCGAGTTGATTTGCCCCTTACTTTTTGATACTAGTTAAGGGAAAAAAATATGCCTGGCACGATCGCAGTTTATTGTATTAGTATACGTAATTATGTACTGAACATTAAACGTAACACGTACTCAGTGTGTCCTCAAATTTCCCAAATTCAAACTTGCGCTTCCCCTTTTTGCGATTTAGGCCGTCAGTAAAGATCGTTTGCCGTGAACGTCGTTGCCCTTTGATTCGCAACATTTATGTATTGGCACGTTTAATTAGCCACGAAGAAAACAACAACGCGAGTGACCTGCGAAGAAAGATGACCTTTGCGTTGAACGCCAAGAATGACGTTACGTTCGTCTTCGAAGCACACTGGATGAGGCACTGTATTCCTAGGATATTTTCGGGGAATGAGATTGTGCTCTGCGTCACTAGAACACAAATGCCAAAGATATCACTTTCTTTGTTGTTCTTTGTGGTGTAGCAATGTAGAAGTAATTGCAGTTGTGTATGTAGTACGTAATATTTTTACCTTATTTCTAGTAGGGGCTAATCCTATGGATGAAAACGAAGTTTTTATTATTATCATTAACCCAGAAACAGAGTATATAGCTACTTCATCTAACTAAGGTTCAGTTACATAGACAAAGTTTTGTTTTTCTTTAGTTACATTGCGGACACTAGACGAACAAGATGAAATTCTACTTTCGCGTTGTTACTCAGTGTTGAACTTGTCTACGGGGTCACACTTGGGTTGATAAATAAATAAATATTAATTAATTATTAATTACTTTATTAATTTATTGCTTTTATTCTTCTCTTTTATGGTAATAAAAACGTGCCGGCTGTCAATTACCGGTTTTTATTCTGGCTGATCGTTTTTTTTTACGTTGGCTTTTGACAGCCCGCTTGGATAAAGGTTGAAGACAAAGGGATCCTGAGCATCCATCAGCAGGTCATCAGCAGAAACTATCGCATTTCGTTGAGCACCAGCGACAACCGAAACTTCGTGCTGCACATCAAGAACGTCCAGGAGTCGGACAAGGGCGGCTACATGTGCCAGATCAACACGTCACCCATGATGAGCCAGGTCGGCTACCTCGATGTCCTTGGTGAGTCATCATTCCACCTTACGCGCAAATTGTTTCTTGTTTTCAGTCAAACGATTACCCCCCCCCCCCCCCCCCCCCCCCCAATATCTGAACTCATTGGGAGTCACAATATATTGAAACAAAACGTCGGATGGCAGGAGAGATATTTTCGAGGTATAGTCAAAAGTCTGGGTAATTGATAAAGGAGAAGAAATACATGCAGGTTTGGTTTTCAAAAAAACAAAAAGAAAAACAAAAAACCGGCGTATTTCTATTTGTGTGATGCGAACTGCAACCGACTTGGTTTCTACAATAGTCTCCATGAAAACTTAGAATTTAGACTTATCTGGTGGTGCAATACACTTGTATAGATAGTGTAAACGACGTTTTTTCGCGAGAGCCATATTTTGTAAATATGCCACGGGCTACGATTTTATGTAATTTAGCGTATAATAAATGTCACGTAAGTTACAGTAAAGCGAATTTTTGTGGACCTAATATATCGTTTTTTTGTTGTTTTTTTTAAATATAATTTAAGGACGAATGGTAAATTAGCGTCACCTACGGCTTTGACCAAGGTGCTTCGCTAACTCCGACCTCAGGTACACTTTTTGAAGTAAAAAACGTGTAAATATCCTGCGGCGATAAGAATGTGTAACCAAGAAGAAGCAATCGCAAGCAAATAAAAAGAAAAAAAAAAAAAAACTCCTCTTCAGGCGCGTTTTTTTTTTTTTTTTCGCCGGCTCTTGTTTGCGATTTTAAGCTCTCCTTTTTTTTTCTGCGCTTTAGAGGGGGAATTGACGTCCTGCTATATTTATATTCGAGCGAAATAGATGGCACAGACCCATGACGACCCCAGTTATATAATAGTTTTATTTCTCATCAATGATGAAGGCGAGGCCGGAGATAAAAGCTGCAAAGGAACAGCTTGACGAGTCTCCGGCCCCCTACAGTGGAAAAACAGACGGGAGCATGAACAACAAACAAGTTATAAAACAGGGAAGGGAAATAAAGAATGAAATACAGTGGCTCGACAGTCATTCATGGTTACATTTTTAGCATGGATAGTACAAATTTCACATTTATTTAGCTAAGGTCGAAATCAATACTTGTGAGGCTCTTGAGTAAAAACGGTAGGGTGTGTTCGAGCATTTGTTTACCATAATTTGTTCTTTGAGGAATTATCTTCCAATACTCAGTGTGACGAGTGGGATACGCCCGAATACTTTTGGTCAGTGCTCAAAGTTCAGCTAGAAAGCGAGAATTCTTTTTTTTCCCTTCGTCTTTAAAACTACCGCTTCACCTGTAATTATATAAATTACGTGCAGTAATAATTGCAAAGCGCGTAAACAAGTCGGCAGTATGAGATCTGATACGGAGCGTTACATATAATTCTGATTATTTTCTTTTGAAGTAAAAATACCTTACCTAAATTTGTTGATGCCCCTCACTCCTTAATCATCAATATTACAAGACTGAGCGTGACAGAAGGTGTTATTTAGTGTTAAAAATTTAAAGTATTAATTTAGCGGCTACGACAAAGACACATACGTATAGGCTTCGAGAAGCGACACGGTTTCAATTATCTTCGACAGGAAATCTCCGTGAAGGGGAATAGAGTTGTGCCGGTAGGCGTGAGTTCCGGCCTATAACCAATGTTGTCCCAGGTACCTTGTTACATCCATATACACTATTGATCATGATTCTGTGAATGTGTATCTCTACGTATTTATACTGTCGTTGAACGCAACCAGGCGTCTGATTATTGCTTTCACAATGCCCTCATTTTGCTTGCTTTGCTCTCACCACTAAGTTTCCGCGAATAGTGGGAGGTTCAAAAAAATTTTCGAAAAGTTTGTTTTCGCAAAATCAAGGTTTTTTTTTTTTCACGGTATAGCGGTACTGGTAACTTCTGTTTTCTTATTATGCACTGCACCCTACTGCGTAAATTGGTGAATGTCGGCACACTATGACGTGTCTATTCACTGGCATGAGTGAGGAGAAATAGTGAGACCAGAAAGCCTATGATATGGATGCTTGAACTTTTTAAAATCATTATTAGAATGGACTGCATATTTGACGTTATCATTACTAAGAACTGTCTAAGTATAACAAACTGCCATTAGCACTGCTAAGCCCCCGAAGCCACGTCTCATTCTTGCACTGCCGATTTGGAGCGTTTGTAGAAAAAATAGGAATATCGTGATTACAAACTCGGTTTATAATTGACTGAAACGGCTCGTTTCGATGTTAAATAATGCGCATCATAATTCCCCGCTGGCGCGCCTAAAAGCACAGAAAAACCCAGCAATCAGCTCGAATTAATCCTGCCCTTTGGAGCGAGCTTTGCCTATCGCTTTGATGCATTGCAGGCAGAGCACGCTTTACAGGCGTCCTAATTTCACTAGTGAGCTTTTTTTTTTTTTTTTTTTTTTTGCTTCTTTGTTCAATAAGATAAGAAAACATTCCGAAACTTCCAAATAAAACTTTTCTTGCGGTCTGATTGACGAACTTGGGGCTTAATTAGAACCTATGAATATAACACGAAAACATGTTTTTTTTTTGTTTTTTTTTTTTAATATATTTTGGTTTTGGAGGCAAACTAATCATTAAGTTGTGCTCAGCGGTCCGCTTTCCAGAATTGAGGAGCAATAACATTGTCTTCGTCCTAGAATCACTTCCCTGAAATGTGAAAAGTACCGAGTCAATAATTATCGGTGATAGCAAATTGAATGCCACAAAAAACAATTGTACAATAAAATTATAAAAAAACAAGTATATGACAGGTTTTCAGGGTACGCTACAATGCCTATAAGTTACGGGGCACAGCATTTATCCACGGTATTCCGTGTGGAATTTAGTAGGTAAAATGCAAAAAATACCGGTCCTCAGTTGACGTACTTTAGAAATCGTCAGTGTTGTAACGTTCCTCAAAAAAAGGAACGAAAGCTCGTTCCTCGTTCCTTCTGATTTTTGGAACGCGATCCCGTTACACGTTCCATTTGTGAAAAAGGAACTCGTTCCCGTTACAGTTTAAAAAATGGAACGTACCGTTACATATGCGTTACATTTGTATTTTGGTGAGTACCATATTCAATTGGAACAAACAGAGTTGTTTTTGTTGTTTTTTAGTCTATCCCATCAAATGGCAACATACGAATTTGAATGCCGTGATGGAAGGACAGGTGAAGAAGACAAGCGGAAGCAAGATTTCATTTGTTGATATATTCACGTTTAGAAATCTCAGCTTTGGGCCATATTCATCTTTGTGGTGGGCTATTCAGACGAACCAAATGTACTGTTGCACGGGTGGTTTACAACAATCTCACACGTTTCAATCTAACAAAGTTCCTTGTTCCAACTTAACAACACTTGCTTCTCGATGTTTCTGTCTGCAAGATGAGAAAGTGGAGAAGAGGGTAGGGTTTTTGGAAGGCCAGTCTTGAAAGCTGCCAGTCCTTCGTGAAGGTTAGATTCGTTATACTGTTTTAAGGTGGGGGACAACTGGAGAATAAATAAAGGTTAATTTTTGTGTATACATTAAGTGACCAATGTTCCGGATACAAGGTTGCGTTTGATGTCAGGTCACCTGTTGTTCTGTTCTCGCTGTAGGTCTCTTTCTGAAAATACAGTGATGGCTGTAGTCGGCGTTGGATTTCTGGTGTATGAGGATTCGTCAAAAGAAGTAACTGAGTTTGAGACGTCCCTCTTTCTGTGTCTTTTATTTCCACTAAAAGTTTTGGTTTTTTGTACTGTAGTCTCGGCCACTGAAAAAAAATGTATCGATGTCCACTAGCTTTTCTGCACCCAACTGTTACCAAGGGAAAACCTCACAAAATAAACCCTAAAGCGCCATTCACACACTTGCAACCAAGTACGACCGAGAGGGACAAGACCGGTTTTTAAGCCTCTTGCGACGTCTTAGGACCAGCTCTGCAGCAGCGCATTCGGTCCTAAGTCGTCGAAACAAGCTAAAAAAACGGTCTTGTCTCGGTCGGTCTCACTCGGTTGCAAGTGTGTGAATTGGCCTTAAAGTGCCATTCACATACTTGCAAACGAGTACGACTCAGCGAGACAATACCGGTTTTTAAGTCTTACGACGGCGTAGAACCAGACGCGCTACTGCGGAGCACGTCCTTCGCCGTCATAAGTTGATTAAAAGCAGGTTTTGTCTCTCACGGTCGTACGCGGTTGTACAAGTGTGCCTTAATGGCGCGTTCACACTGGAAGCGGATCCGCGTTTGCGAAGCGGATCCGCGCGTTCTCAACCGCAAAGCGGCTAGGATCGAGCGGTTGGAGTGCGTTTTTGCCAACCGCTTCGGGACCGATTTTTCCCAACCGCTTTCACGAACCGCAAAGCGGCAACCAATCACAACGGGACGCTGACGTCACGTCAGTGACTTTCGAAACAAGATGGCACCTGTCGCTGGTGAGGCGTCCAAGGCGCTGTAGTCCTAGCGCTGTAGTCTTAGCTTTCGACAAATCAACGGAGAAACTTGATGCTCACGTCCGTCACTTGAATCCGCCGCGAAAAGAATTGACTCGTAATTTTAACGGGCTTCGCACCGGTGATTTGGTTCGGGTAAGAGTTTGTTTATTATTGCGGGTGCAACAGCCCAAGCTGGCTGCCTTGTTAATCTCTGCCTGTAGAACGTCGGAACACGCCCTGATCGACCGAAACGTCAGCCTTTCTACCCACTAAGATAGTTGCGTGAACTATTGAAAGCTTTCGACACCGTGCATGACCACCACGAAGGCCGATAGAGACGCCGTGAACTTGATTGCGTAGCCAACGTACTACCGCGGAGCGGGCAGGGTACCTGCGTTAGCTCGACCTGTAACGTTTACTACTAACAAAATAAATAAAAGGAGCCTAATCAAGGAATAAAGTGTACGTACCAGACAATGCAGAGGTAATCCATACGGCGTTTATTTGAGCTTAATGTCAAACAAACAGTACACTCGGTCGACGAGCGAGTGACGAGAGGAGTCCGCCACCAACGAAGCCACGACCGGCTAGCACCGAACACATTTCCCCGCTCGCACCACGGTCCATCCCACCGCTCACAACTTCAAAAATGATAAGAGCGAACAACAACAACGAGGGGGAAAAACTGGCCCTCTATCCCGAAAACAAGGTCAGCTATTCATGCGGGAAGGGTCCACTTCGAAGAAAATATCGGGGGCATCCTGTTCTGAGTCAGCAAGGCGCGCCTAGCTGGGCTTTGCTTGCGGGCGAAGTCGAGGGAATCACAGGCGAGTTTGGCGGGACTATGCTTCTTTTTTCGCTGTCTGAACTCGTGATGCGTGCGAACATCCCGGAGAAAAATATTCCGAGTGCCAAAATAGCAAAAGTTTGGCTTTGGATCTTGAATTAAAGTAGATTTTGGATGGTAAAACAGCGTTGGCAAACGCAAGTCTCAAAAGATCACGCGTGATCGCCGAGAAACCGCCAACCGCCTCTCGGTGTGTCTGAACGGGGTCGCTCGCGAACCGCATCCGCGACCGCTTCGCGAACGCGGATCCGCTTCCAGTGTGAATGCGCCATAAGAGAAGCAACAAAAAAAGTTAACGAGACGCTGGTCTTCGTAATATTGTTTTATACATTTTAGAATTTCCCTATTAGAAATAAATTAAAAATTACCCCACTGGACGAAAAAAAAAGGAACGCCGTTCTTTCTTACGTTCCAGTAAAAAAAGTAACGCGTTCCCGTTCCAGTTCCACTGATGCAAAATGGAACGGCAGCGTTCCTTCGTTCCTCTGAAAAGGAACGCGTTCCAAGAACGCCGTTCCGTACAACACTGGAAATCCTGAACTTTTACCGCAGCAAGCGTTGCAGGAGCGATTATACTTTTTGCGCTATCTGGTGGTTTAGAAACGCCGCATGACCTTCTGGAAGAAGTGCTTCCGGCTTCCGGCTTCCTAAGCTATATATCTATCAGCAATTGTTTTTTACTTTTAGTACGTCATTCCTAGCCTATGTATGAGACATTTAATTTACAAATACACTGCGTAAGTAGCTTTCTAACGCTTTCAAGCATTTAGGGAAAGGAAATGCAGAGGAGTCCCAAGCTATAATACATTAGAAGGTTGGGGATCCCACATGTATATTATCTTATGATGTACTAGTGTGATTCGTAGATTTGCAATCACATTCTGTAGCATGTAACATCCATCTTGTTCAGGAATGGGAATCTCCTGAGCAAGATTGTTGAAGCAACCATACATTAAGTTAAAGATGAGTTTCACAACAATGGCTCAGCTTAAGTATTAGTCTATCGACCGTATATCTCAAATTTGAGTTATTAGAGGTTTCGCAGCCCTGTCAAGGTATTTCTTCAAATTTTTTTTGTCCGCCGCAGATTTATAGGAAACTACATATGCCAAGGAGCTTATTTTATAGAGATAATTTGTCTTAGGCCCAACATGCCTAAAAAAATAGATGTCTTTGAATACAAGGAAACTCAGATGGGCAAATAGTAATGAGGCATTCAGAGAAATGCAGTTGCCACCGGAGTGGTACAAAAAAAAAGGATTGTGATTTACGCATTGGTGTATGAGCTTACTAAACGATTGAAAACGCTGCGCTGACAAGCGAAGTAATTACCCATTCACTGGAAGTACAATTCAAGTTGGAATAAGATATGCAATCTTGCTACGTCACCTCTAATAACAATATAATTTGCAGAGAACTTTACCTACGAACTTGGTCCTCACCAAGAACGATCCCTCGCACACACCGCAGTACCGTGACCATAGGGTGTTCACACTAAAGCGAGCAAGATACACGTTCAATAACGTCTCAATCCATCGGGGCTCACAATCAGATTAGGATGCTTAACACATAAAACCGGCCACCAAAACAAACTGACAAACAAACTAACGCACACGCCGTGGCAACCATTAACATGATTAAGAAATGCTCGCTCGACGTAGGCCATGAGATGCAATCCCGCCCGCTTGCCAGCGCGAGCCGCGCACTGCCGGCAAGCGAGCGATTCCGATCAACAATTGATAACCGAGGCAAGGGAATCTGCTCGCGTTCTCGTGTTATAACGCATCGACGAAGAAGATGAGGCGGGCACGTCGTTATTTTCGGGGGGCACGAGGATGCAGCGATTTCCTGGGATGCGTTTATGGGTAAACGCGTGTGCTCCGCGCCTGCATGCAAGGTAGCGGAGGTCGACCGTTCCGCCGATATTTTGTTGCTACTTTGCGAAGGGCTGCTATCGAACAAGCGTTAATTTTCCGGCCGAACGGACGCAGTGCCCCCGGACATCGTGGTGGAGGAGAGCAGCTCGGACGTTGTGGTTCGGGAGGGCTCCAACGTGACGCTCATTTGCAAGGCCAAGGGCTACCCTCGCCCCACCATCTCCTGGAGGAGGGAAGACAACGAGCCCATTCCGCTGGGCTCCTGGAAGAACGGCAAAAAGACGCAGACTCTGGGTAAAGTCATCTTCGAGAATTAAAAGAAAAAAAGTTTAACGCGCATTTTGTTTACCTAATGAAGTTTTGCGCGTTTGCTTTGTACTTGCTTAAGAATGACGTCTTGTTGAGGAACATAATTATTTTTTTTGTGTGTGCTGTAAAACGACTAACAGCAGCTTAAGAACCCTGGGAATGGTTTATTATATCCACCGTTCTTGTTTTGTGATTGCTTATTTTGTGTCGTTCCTAGCTAGTGACGCCATTTTAATGACTGTGGAGTGATAGTATGATGCTCTAGCCTTGCCACGCCATGTGTTTCTGAAGTTGTTAGTTACTTTAGTAGTTTTTATTTTCTTTCGGGATCACGGCAGTTGAAAGGTGAAGCAGAAGGTAAAAACGCATACGTCGTAAGATGCTTCTGATTGGTTTGAGCCTGTAATCCAACTGTAAAATTTGAACCTGCAAAAGACATTTAAAAAGCTACCCTTCAGGATTGTTAATAAACACGCGAGTAACTTGGGCGTGTGGCAGGCTGAAGGCTGACTCCCAATACGCAATCGCAAACTGGAGTTTCAAACTCTCTCGCGTAATCAGGGATATATTTGTTTTCAGGGAAAACATGGCAGGTTACCCTAAAGTACATAGAAAATATATTTTTATTCAATTCGTATCAATCACAAATACCCCGTTCTAAGCAATCACCTGTATGGCCGAAGAACCTCGTCACTACTCGAATTATGCAACTTTTTACAACGAATTACATATTTTGTCACACGAAGGCGGTCTCCTCTGAGGGATATTTACGATACTTGCCACGAATAGACGTCAGCAAAGTAATCCCATATACAGGGTAAGTAATTTTAATCAAGAAAGGGAGAAAAACATAAAGTGACTGTCACGTGAATACCGACCAAACAGTGTTTGTTTATCGGGCCCCATAGACTTGGAATGAAAGGACCACCGGCACGATAAGTTGGCTAATAAACCAAATTGTTAATTACCGTTTTGTTTTATTGCTTAGAAACAATGTCGAAATTGTTGTTTCAAAAAGCAATTAAAGAAGCTAATTTAACGTGTAGAAATTTGGGAAAGGAAGGTTTTTTTTTTTTGCGTATTTATTACCAGATTTCAAAACTGATCAGCGAAAGAGCGGCCGGGCCCCTGCCCTCAATGCTGTGGAGTAAAGGGACGCATTCCTTACGAGTACATCGTCGTTATCCTGAAAGAGCGCCCACGGCACTCCCTTATTGACGCGGCATCTAGGTGACGATAAAATGCCTGTCACCAATACGTTTCTCTTCCAGAAGTCATCAGGCATAGGGCCTCCGACAATCCTTCTTCGCCAAGAATCGGGCCACAAAGAAGTGAAAAATGATTAACAAAATTTTTAAATAAGCTTACGGTTTCGAAACTTTTGTTTGCAATTGCAATTGCAAAATGATCCATGAAGTCATTACTTAAAAAAAAAATTGTTAAGTTTTAGCTGTTTTTTTTTATCGCCTCCTCTATTTGCTTATTTAACACCCTCCGAATCCGATAAACAGATAAACAAAAGACGGTATTTTTTGTAACAGTCACGTCCTTTAAAAATGTCCTCGGTTTAAAATTTCTCCGCCCATAGTACGCCTTACGCGTCGCTACCCTAACACTTCTTTTTTATTATTATTATTATTAGGCGAGCGGAATTGGGGCACGTACAATTACTTTTTGCGTAACCGGTCTCGTCAATTTCACGCACCTGTTGTTTCTTTTTTCTCTACTTTAACCATATTACATGTCCTGCCGTTGGTGCTAGAAACCTCTGTACTAAAATGAATAAATGGGCTATTTGGTTACATAAGTGGATGGAAAGCGCCGAATAAACAAGGACGAAGAAGGGGACAAAGACGAAGCGCCCTCACCACTGAAGGTTTATTCAAACAAACATTGACTATTAATACCGTCTATCTCTCTGTTGGTTCAAAAAGAAAAAACTCTTCTTCTCTTAAGTCCAGTGACGGCGCACTAATACACAGACTTTCCCCTGGAGGAAACAACAGTTCTGGGCAGATACGCAAGCAAAACAGCGCGAGAAATACAGGAGGCAATTCGCGTAAGAGAGAAAGGGAGAGCATGTGTATTAGTGCGCCGTCACTGCACTTAACAGATAAAAAGTTTTTCTTTTTGAACCAACACCCAGATCGACGGTATTAATAGTCAATGTTTGTTTCAATAAACCTTCAGTTGAGAGTGCGCTCGTCTATGTCCCCTTCTTCGTCCTTGTTTATTTGGCGCTTTTCCATCCAGCCTATGTACTAATAAAACTAACTTGTTGCTTCCAACGCGAAGAACAATTTTGAATCGCTGACAGAATTTTAAAAGGATATATTCAATTAATTGCTTACATCAGTTCTCTTTTGATTTCGCAGTGTTTATGGAGGACGGTGCAGAAATAATTGCGGTCACTTATGAAGATGTACTCATTCTGTTTGCCGGTCCAACTATTTTCTGAGTTTATGGAATCACCCCTCTCGTTAAAACTGCTGCGGAGAGATTTGTTTCTTCACTTCGCAATGAATTAAGCATTGTATTGGGCACATGCTTATGACTTGAAATAAGTGAAGAAAATGATGTGTGGGTGTTTTCTTCTTTTATATAAGATAATTGCATAATACTTTTAGTCTATATATACCCACACTTACTTGAAGATTGCAATACAATTTTCAAAGTCGGCCAGGTTTTAACGGGATGAAACAAAAATTAAACCTCCCTCGATGAGTCTGGTAAACTCGCGGAGCGCAGCATGTGATGTGCATATATTATGGAAGCGTTATGAATTGTTATGTTTTGTTGAAGAATGCTCTGGGTGGTTTTGAATGCGCTGCACGTACGACACCCATTCACTTCTCCGGGTTTATCAGAAGAATCGAGACGAGCATAACTTTATCTGGGGCCCATATGACTTCATGAGATCACATGTGGAGCAACACTTCGACATTCGGTATGGGGCTGTGCGCACCGGCTGTCACCTATTAGCTTAGGCTTTCTTGAGTCATACTTAGTCCAGCTGATTGAACTCCCGTTCATTGCCTCCTAGTTGCCTCGAATAATAAAGAAAAAAAAAAAAAAAACTCCTTGTTGGAGTTTTTTCCGACGCCTCCAGGAAAGGCGTCGGGTTACGGACCACATGGTCAAGGATTCGGTTCCCGGCCGATTCGCCATATAGTAATGTATTCTTTTGTGTTTTTTTTAAATTGTGATTAGTCACTTGTATGTATAACCCAAAATGCCTTGTATTCTTATGCATTTTCTGCTGCAGGCTATGAACGCCTTTTGTTGCCGAGGCCTGCTTGTAGCGGCCTTTCGCATGAAATTCAGCCCCATAAACACACCCTGTATTGACAGCAAGAACAAACATGAATGATTGGACGTAAATATAAATGAACATCGCAAATTTCATGCCAATTTGAAAAAAAAGCATATATTAAGTCTCCGGTTTTAGACCACTCTGAAAGAAAACACAGGTTCGCAAACAAAATGAAGCCCTCTTCATTGCAAACGGTTCAAGAATCCCCCCCCCCTCCCCCCCCCCCCCCAAAAAAAAAAAATATATATATATATATATATATATGGTAACAAACTTTGAAAACTACACAGACGTACGCTCTAAAACAATACCGACGCCAATTTATGTCTTAAATTTACAACCCGGTGCTCGAAACAAACAGGGCCAGCAAACACAGGAAGGTAAAAAATTTCCCTCTCTTCATTCGCCTTCTCTTCGCGAGTCAGATCAACAAAACGAATCAAAGAAAGTAAAGCATTCGCGAAGCCAACAATTTTCAGTCGACCTATCCCTTATCACCACGTTTCCGGCAAGCAGCGCTAGCAGCCGCGGCGGCGGCAGCGGTCGTTCGTTTGAGCCTGTGCAACACAAGAAGGGGGAACATCAATTTCGCCCCCTTGCGTCGCCCCACGTACACTCTTTTTCGCTCGCTCGACTTTTTTCTCTCCATTTTCATCTATCCTTCAATGTTCGGAAACGAAAAGAGATCAACGCGGCGAGCAACTTTAACCAAGTCAGGCCCCCTAATCCCAAGATCCACTTAGGTGACGATCCGCGCACCGAGCGAGCGCTCGGGGATAGGTGCCGACGATGGGAAGCAAGCGCGCCGGCGAAGATTCCGTCAATACGGGACGGGGTTTGAGGGGGGGTGGACCGAGGCCCCGACCGGTTGATTTCTTGACACCGGCTCTCGCCGGCTTAGCGGAGCGAAGCCTTTCACACGGCTCCGGAGGAGCGGCGAAAAAAAGCGAGCGAAGGAAAAGAACCGGCCGCCTAAAAAGAGAGATTGAGACTGTTGTAATAGATTGCTCGCCGGAGCGGAGGCTACGAAGTTTAGCGGAATGTTGACCCTTGGCGATGTCGAAAGGCTTATTACTACACGCCGGGGAGTTTCAAGTAAACAGACCCTTTGGATAGCGCGAAGGAGTGAAATGTGCAAAAGAAAAAACAAAGACACGAATGAAAATAAGGGAGGTGGCTTGGATGGCGAGCAGCTCCATGATGGAGTAAGCTATTGAACAAACACGATCCCGAGCGCGAACGAGCGTAAGCCCGGTGTATTTCAAACGGATGATGATAGAAACGAAGTTACTTCAAAAATAGCCGGCAGTGTCGCAAAATGGGAGAGTCGTGTTGCCGAAGCGCGTTTCGATCAGTCACAGGCCTTAAAAAGAGTCTAATCAACGGGATTTGCATATTTAAATATACAAAAAAGAACGAAAATGCTCACTGGCTGTACACGATCAAAACAAATTTTGGGGCTCAGAGCGAAAAGTTAGCAAGCGTATGAACCGCGCGTCGGCGGATGTTCCCTCAACAATCTAGTTTCTTTTTAAAAAATTTTTTTTATTGCATAGTTTAGTACTTAAACAAAAAAGAGGCTGAATTTTAGTAAACATATAGTATATTGGACTAAACAGTAACTATAATATTGTAGCACATCAATTATGTAGCTCGATTTTGTTCAATTCCTCTTCGAGATTATGTGTTTATATATAGAAAAACAAATTAAAGTCCACTCTTATTATTAACGTCGGGGAGCCTAATATATATATGCTACAAAGAGCTGGTTGTTCCTAAAAGGCGGCATACGTAGACTGTGTGGCTGCGAGACTCACAGTGACTCGTGTTAATTTACTTTGATACATTTTATTATATGCTTTCATCAAATTTCCTCAAGCAGAATCTAACTGTCTACCTCACCTCCAAGGTATCCTTAGGTCGTCGCGCATTGCCCTACAGTCTACTGCTGTAGTTCTCAACGATCCATGTTTCGCGGACCCTTTGTGGATCGGCGGAGATGGTGAAGGACCCCCTTCGCGGTGAGGGGAAGGAAAAAATATAGGTTCATTATAATAATGATTTATTGAGTGGATATAACTGAGGGCTAGTGTCAAGCAGACTTCTTTAATTCACATACAGACGAGAGAACTCACCCAAATGTTTGAACATTTCTCCTCAATCTGAAAGAAAGACGATGTTTTTTGCCGGGTTTGACTGGTGAGGCAGCGCTTCACGGAACCCTAGAATACCTTCGCGGACCGCAAGGGGTCCTGGAAGCTCCATTTCAGAACCACTGGTCTATTGGAACAAGAATTAGAGAAGAGGCTCCTCTACCGAGCTTCGAAAGAGGAACGACATCAGTTCGCCATTTCACGGGGGCAAAAAAAAAAGCAATGCGTGCTCACAAAAAACAAACAAAAAAACTTTGAATTTTTTGTTTTTTATTACATCTCCTGCTAAATATCCCGCTGAATTTAGCGGAAAATGTTGGTAAATTTAGCGAAAAAACTTTCGCTACATTTATCAGGAAATTTAGCGAAACTTTCCCGCTAAATGGGAGGTGAGCGGAAGACGAGGAGGGGAAGGTACGGAGGAGGAGGAGGGGCATGTCCTCCTCTCCTCCTCTTTAAGAGCTGCGCTCTAATTCGACATTACAGTGAATTTTAAACGTCTTTCATTTTTTACTACAAACGTAAGCTTGGTTTCTTCGGACGCTCGTGCCCATGCATCGATCGTAATTTTTCGTAAATTAACTTCAGAAATATTGCTTCCTTTTGTCATTTTTTTCGCATGTTTTCCTTTAATAGGTTCCTCTGATTAAAGTTTTTACGGGACCTTTCCTTTTTTTCAGTACAAACGTACGAAGGCGAGTTCCTGACCGTGACTCGCGTAAGCCGAGTTCACATGGGGGCTTATCTCTGCATCGCCAACAACAACGTGCCTTCGCCCGTGAGCCGGAGAATCATGCTGCACGTGCACTGTGAGCGAGAAACACCCTTTGACTTTCTATGCACTATACAGCGAGGAAGTGTTTTAAGATGCGTCTTTGGCGCAGCGGAACGTAAGGAAGAGCACGCCAATCAAAGGACAAAATAGACAAGTCGTGGGGAAGGCGCGATGACAAGACGATCAAGCGAGCGCTGTCATTGGTTGAAATCGGGGGAAAACAAAAGCACGTGGACGCGTTTGGGGGTAAACAAACACACGAGTTCCGCAAGAAGCAGACGAACTGGCAGGCCGTATGGTTTTTACGGAGATGTTTCTACGTGAAGCGACTTCTGTTCGCAAAGAGTCGCCACGAAAGACACCTTTAGAGGCAGACCACAAATATTTTAACCTCTCGTTGTGACAGGGTCCGCGTGTAGAGCAAGTGAGAGGCAGCACCGTAAACTGGATTTCCTAGTGTTTTTAATAAAATTTATTCGCACTTTAGAGATGATCCTCATAATTATAGGAGCGGTCTGTTTCGTGGTGGGCCTCTGAAACTTAAATGCTGTCTTAGATGATTTTAAGCCCATTGTAGTACATCTTGTTCGCTAGTCAATTGGTGTCTATACTTTTGAGTGTTTTGATGTAGTTAAATATAATTAAGTTGAGTAATCTTTATTTGACACATAGTGCAAGCGCAAAGAGCTTTTTCGGAAATTGTTCACGAGGAGTGTGCAAATACTGGCTTTGAATCGAGTAGCACAGCGCCGTCCCCGGCTCCAATACTACGAAAAGAGAGAGCTCTTAAGTTGTGAAGGCAATGAATGACGTGGCGCTTTACAATTTGGATCACCATTAGCGCACACCTAGTTTTTACGGAACCTGATTGTCATCAAGGTCTGTACAAACGGTATTTTTTATGTCAATTTGATCTGCTACTTAGCCTTTGAATAAAAATATTTTAATTCCATCTATGAAGTTTCCTGAATTATGCGGAGAAACGCGCAGGTCTTATTAAGGAATTTTAAACACCCTCGCAGCTAACCATAAATTACGAAGAATTCTGAACACACAAGACCGAAAGGAAGAGCGCAAGTAATAAAGGCAAATAAGCGGTGGAAGGAGGCAACAGACGAAAAAAGTACAGAATTTTTCGCTGTCATTTCTCTTTTTCTTTTTTTCTTGTTGCCCTTGGTTTTTGTCTTTTTCAAATACATGTAATTGTCCGGCACTTCATCGTTATGGTGGATGTTGAGTTGTTTAATAGTAGGATAATAAAATAATTTAATTAATTCAATAGGCCTCTTGTTTCACTATTTCGTATTAACGATCAGCTGTTTAGGTCCACAGAGTGCGGTAACTTAATCTCCTGCATGAAATAATGTTCAAGGTCTGGCCAGCTTTCCTTCTACAGATGGCGCCTGTCCAGAGTAATGTTCAATCAATTTCAAAATAAGCTGTGCATCTTCGAAAAAAAAAACAAAAAAAACTGAACCAATTCAATAATAATTTGGTGTACGTACCTCTGTTATGGTGCTTTCTAGATCTTAATACGTTAGGGGCGTTTTTTTTTTTTTTTTTTTTTTTTGTAGACGAGAATTTGACATTAGTAATACTGCGGGCGGGGATCTTTATAAACAACAAAATAATCTCAATTTACTCTGAGATATTGCAGAAAGGTACACTTGTCAGGACCCTACCTCTATTTCAACAATTTAACTGCTATAACGTCGCTGAATATATATCTATCTATAGTTTTTTTTAATAATTTGCGCAATAAGTCACTCTGTCTGCGGCGTCCGAAAGTTTTCAACTTTTTTTAACTTTATTTAATAGAATTTAAAAAGTTCAATATTACAGCCTCTGACAGGTTAAGAAAAGTTGGGTCGGACATATTTCTTTGTGATTCGTTCAGTGACTGTACAGTAACAAGAAAGCTCAGTAAACGCAGGGAGTGGCGAGTCCGATAATATTATCAACGCGCCGTTGGCAACCAGGTTGCGGCAGCAGCGTTAAGTGGCACCACCATTCACCGAACAACGAATCACGCACGAAGAAAAAAGGAAGCGCGAACGTACACTGTAAGAAATCTGGAGCGTCGTCTTTCTCGCAAAGTACTTGGGAGTGCCAATCGCTGCGATCTACGGAGGGCGCTTGACGAATAAGAAGGCTGAACATAACTTCAGACGTAAAATAACTCTTCTGAACTGTGGCACGGATCATTACGTTTCGTCATGCCCACACCCTGCGTTTCTTTTTCTTTTTACGCTGTCAGTGATTATAGCTGTACGAATTGGTGTTTATTGTTTTCGTTTTTTTCTTTCTGGCTCGAATCGCGGTGGTGAAAAACTGATTGCTCACCGATACATTGAATGTCGGTTGATGAACGGCGCAGTTCCGCCGGTGATCTGGATCCCGAACCAGCTGGTGGGAGCTCCTCCTCGCACCAACGTGACCCTCGATTGCCACAGCGAGGCGTACCCTCCGGCGGTGAACTACTGGGCCAAGGAGGGCCACAAGATCTTCCTGAATAACGACAAGTTCCTGGTGAGCGTGCGCAAGATAGGCTACAAGACGCACATGCAGCTCACCGTCAGACAACTCCGCGAGCACGACTTCGGCGCCTACAAGTGCCTCTCCGAGAACCTCCTCGGAGCCACCGAGGGCTCCGTGAATCTCTACGGTGAGTACCGAAACCTTGAACATTCTTCGAATAAATATTTATGATATTTTTCTTCGTGTTTTACGTAGTATTGTTGTCGACGTGAGCTGTAATGGTCCTTAGCCCTTGTTTTAAGTACCTGTCAGTTTCTAGAAAGCTTTGGTCTAAAGTGTTTTATGGAGTGCGAAGCTTGGATCCCGTTCTTTGAACTTACTCTATGACAAATGGAGAGATAATAGGGACTTTTAGTAGATTGTACGGTAGAGTCTAGAGCCTCGCTTTGCTAGCGGGAGCTCGTGCCGTTACTTCGAAACCTGTATTGAAGACGCGCCCGCTGAACCCGCTTTCGGCAGCGTATGATCTACTAAAACGCTCTAGATTGCAGACGCAGAGAAAGGCCGAATTGGGGTCTGCAGATAATATTGTGCGAAGGGTGCTATGGAGAATGGTTGATGATTGAATCGGTAACATTGGGACACCAGCCCTCACATTTTTTTTAGAGTTTATAGCCGAAAAGGAAAAAGAAGAAACACACAAAAAAACGAAAGAGTGGAGCTATACTACTTGTTGATGACACAAGGATGAATGCGGATCATGTAAAGTGCAGGTGGAGTTTGTTTTATAGCGACATGGAAGCACTCGTTCTAGATTTTATCACTACGGTCATTACTGATAAGATCTAGCACAAGTTCTAGCACATGACGCGCATTCATGTTATGTTATAAACAAATTCTATAGGTTCACTCATTCGTTTTTTTGTGTGTGTGTGTTTGCTTCTTTTTTCGCAGCCAACAGGATTAAGAGAAATACGAGGGCTGCTATATTATTGCTATCAATTCAATCGTTGACCGTTCTCCATTGTGCCATAGTAAAAATGAAAAAAACTACGGGTGCTGTTGTCTCAACCCTACCAATTCAATCGTCAACCATTCGCCATAGTACAATTGAAATTTTATTTGCTTTTTAGCGACTGGAAGGACCTTGTTCTAGATTTTGTCAGTACAGTCATTATTAATAAAATCCAGTACGAGTTCCTTCCAGGAGCTGTGAAACGAACTCCACCTACATTTTTACATGACACGTATTCATTTCTATGTCTTAAACAAATAGTATAGGTCCACTCACCCGTTGTTGGTTATTTTCCTTTTTTTTTTGCGGCCAACAGATTAAAAGAAGTACAAGGGCTGGAGTTGCATTGCTACCAATTCAATAATCGATCATACTCCATAGTAAAATAGTTCATTTTTTATTCGTTTCATAGCTACTGGAAGAAACTTGTTCTAGATCTTACCAGTAATAACAACTGATTGTGATGTTCCCAGCGATTGTTCGCTGCGAATATTTGAACATAGTTTGCATTCAGAGACGACTTACTGCTTCGACGCTATAACATTTGCACAGAGTCATGCTTGTATGCCAGCCAGATACGAACTGGACACTTTAAACATTACTTTATCGAATCAAATTAGTTGAAAGGAAGGCGACTGCTGATATATTCCAGTTACCATAGAATATAAATGAACAAAATGCTATACACCAGTAGTTAGCTGATTAAAGTAGGATCAATGAAAATAATTAATATTTAGTGTAATGTAAGATTGTCAACACGCTAGAAGTTGTGCGTAGATCGACTAACCCTGTTAAACAGTGCCTTCTCGTGTGCAGAAGAGATGTTATACTTAATCATTGAGTAGATGATACGTCTACTCAGTGAGGAGTTTAATTCGAACCGACCGCTGCGGGCTCATCACCGTTGTCACTGCCATGGTACCCATGGCAAACCGTATTTTTTTTTTCGTAGCAGTATATATATAATAAGAAACGCTTCTGTTTTTATATATATATATATATATATATATATACAGAAGCGTTTCTGCCTTTGCAAAGGAGCAGAAAGACTTTTGTAGAGAAGTGTTTCTGTCTGTCATTTATACACCGCTTTATAATTGCGACTACCACGGGGCTCATTTCATAACAGTTCCTTTGTTTCACTTTTTGGCCGCGAGGGTGGGGAAGGTTCCGCCGCTCATGTATATCGGGCGTGAGCTGCCCGTTTCTAAAAGTCAGGTCTTGGAACAATAGCAGAAAAACATTTTGTCTTGATGAGTGCAGCCAAGTTCCTCTTAAAGTGTATTGTGCACAACGCCCTCCAAACATGAACAGAAAAAATAAGAAGAAAACTTCGGGACTAATTGATTACAAGAATACAATAGTGCCAAATTGGTTCTTGTTTCACTTCGTATAAGGATGCAAGCGTGGCCCCTATTTATCATGACTCTATTACCTGGTTGTCGTGTTACTTTTATTCCTTCTTGATCGCGTAACTTCTATGAACATCTTACATTATATGCTATAGTTTGAAAATAAGAAAAGTTATGTATGTGCATCAGTTTACTCTATATTTTCACATTTTAGTTTATATACTTTTAAATTATGTATATTATAAATAAAGGAAACCTGGAAGCAAAGTAGAGTTATTAAAAGGTATTGCAATTTCTTCAAATGATATCTACACTACTATAAAATAGTGGTTTGATGTATTATTATTAACAACAATGTATTCAAATACAAATTAAAAAGTTTTCTTTAAACACATTTAAAACTTGCATCTATATCAAGGACGTTCTTGCATATATATAGAACCAAGAGCGCACTTTCTTCAATCCAGAGCTCCCCATGGAGAAGCACAGACACGGCAGGAACCGGACAGCCTTCCATCAACTGGCCACGCTCGGAAGTGGGTTTGAGATCTCCTCTGCACTTGATATCTCGAAATATTTTATAGCCTTAAATGACCGCAAAATAGGGCATCAACTATCTGCAAATCGAGCATGAAGTAAGTTAAATTATGCTCAGTTGACACGTTTGCTTTTTTTCATTTATTTCTGTAGTTACATGAATCATTCAAACGTATCGAGTGGCCTAGATTGACGCAGTTTTTATCCTAAGCCATTTCCCCCGATTATTTTTATTATTGAAGGATGGCATTCGACCGTTTTCGTTCAATCGATATTGCAGGATTTACGTGCCTAGAGGTCAATATTCTTTATGAACCTTTTCTCGTGACTCCCTTCCTGCAAAGCGCAGGGAGGACTTTGTTTTTCTGATTGAAGGTACACAAGCAACCTTTCGAATAAAGAAAAAAATAGTTTTTTACAAACATTTCAAGCGCGCTTGAACTGTGCCAGGTCATGGTTAATGACGTAATTGATGTTTCATGACACAATTCCTCAGAGCACTCGTGATAGCCACGTTTCACGGTGCTTTTTGTACATACATTAATGTTTATTTAAATAAAACTTATAAGTGCTCTGATCATATTTTTGCTAATGCATATTTATCAATCGGACAGCTTGTTGGCTCTTCACACGTGCGGCTCTTCCTGATTTGTCTACACTCTAAAAAAAGACCATGTGACTACTTTCCCGCAAAACACTTGGAGAGCCAATCACCGTAACTTAGGGAGGCAGCTCAGCGAATGACGATGCCGAAACATATGCTTAGACCAAAAAACGCAGTCTGAGGTGTGACATTAAAGGGGCTGTGCAACGATTTTATGATTAAAAGAATTTGCATCTCGTCATTTTTACGTTGTTTATCGTGTCCCAAAGGATAGAGAAAACACTTCCTTCATTAAAAATGTCGCGATTCCGCTGCATAATCGCAGAGCAAAAGTCGAGCTTTTTCCCCCACCTGCAGCCCCAAGTGGCAGCCGAAGGAACTACGGCGGAAAGATTACGTGACCTCGCTCGGCTCTAAGCTGCAGCACACCGCCCGCTAATGTACGCAGAGAGAGGGAAGGGAAGCGTCCTCCGAGATAGCACACGGGAAACTACACGGCACTCCGAATGACGTCACTGGGAGTGCGACCAGGTGTGACCCTGAAGGCTGGGAGTGAGTTGAGGGGTGCCCGAAATGCCAATCTTTATCTTTTTTTTTTTTACGCAACAACTAGGACACGCAGGCGAAATCGGTTTTCTGTTCTTTACTTCAGAAGTGTCAGGGGGCAACTTCCAGAAATCTTTGACCGAAGTCCGAAAATCGTTGCACCACCCCTTTAAGCGATGCAAAACGTCACGCTTGCCTTGGTTAATGTCACAACTCAGACTGCGTTTTTTGGTCTAAACATATGTTTCGGCGTCGTCATTCGCTGAGCTGCCTCCGTACGTTGCGGTGATTGGTTCTCCGAGCGTTGCGCGGAAAAGTAGTCACATGGGCTTTTTTTAGAGTGTAATTATAGACAAAACTGGGGCCTATAATTTGCCTCAACACACTGAATTTCTGTACCTAAAGGATTCACTGGCATGCGCTTAATTGATTTTAGAGAGAGGTGAAATACCGGACAAATTTGGTAAAATAATGTGTTGTTTCAAACTTGCAGTAATGGTAAGGTTTTTTGTTTTTTAATTCGAAATAATTTCTAATACAATTTTAAGGTTAGAATCAAAGAATACGAAAAAAATTTTTTTTTTGAGCGTGGGTAACTGAAATTATGAATGAACCACCTTTTCTGCAACATGTAGAGTTCTGTCTACGGGTCTAGCGCAGATTACGCTATTGGTCTCACAGGATTGGTCTCCATTATCGCTCAAGAACTTTTTGTTGTGTATGATCGCACTGAAAAGTATCTTGCAGTTTCTAAAACATATACCTAGTTATACGAGATTTGTTTACGAGATTTCGGCAGTGATATACTGCAGCTCTCATGACCTTCATTTTTCCCCTTACACTCAGGGCCCTTCATCCGAAGTCAGCATTGCTGCAGTATCACTATAATATTCATAATATGTATTGATGAAGGTCTTTACGTTAGTGCCGATAACATTCCTATGGTTAAGAAAGTATAAGATTGCTTATTTCCACCGAGGGTTATTAGATTAAATTTGGTAAGCTTTCTCCAAATTTACACATGTGTGGATGTATATTTTTTTGCCAAGTTAGACTTCAGGTAAAATATGCCTAGTATAGACGTTACACGGATAGTGATATGTATAGCGTTTACAGAGCACCGTAAAAGAAAAAGCGCGAATTGCCTATATCAAAGAGTAAAACGTAGTACCCGCTGATAACAATATAAGGCTTCGCCCAAAACAAACGCAAACTGGACATACTGGAATCCCCCCTAGGAGGCTTAGTGCAGGTGAATAGGAACATTAAGAATTTACCGCCGCTGACTTCAGAGAAGTTGTGTTCACTGTTATCAGCAAAGCACCATTATATGCCCTGTATCAGTACAAGGCCGAATATGTGTCTTCCTTTCGAGCTTTAAAAATACGTCAACGACAATAAAATAGAGCTGGTTCATTTCGGTAAACTTGTTCGCTTCGTCAGGTGTGGCACAAAAACATCGGTTGGTTTGGCTTGGACGGAAATAGTTTGTTCAATCATTTATTTGGTTTTATTCTTTCCCTTTTCTTTGACAGAACTGTCTCCGCACTCTCGACAGCAGCAGAGCCTCGATTCGCAGCAGGCTGACAAGCACCCCTACGGTCGTAATTCCTATCACGGTAATTTATTGATATGTTCTCTACCTCACTCGCGGTGAACTGTAGGCTAAGAAAAAAAAAGCAGATATTGCATAATCTCCAGCAACACTCAAGTCCCTAAGAAAAGAGCTGAGAAAACACACATATGCACATGTACTGCAAGTCTGTCACAAAGCCACAATTCGTGTTTGAGTCCTCGTGTGAGGAGGGTCTTAAGTCGGATATTTTTTTATCAACCATATTGTAGGATATGACTTACTTTCACGAATCCGTCTATTCCCTTAGGTTGTTTATTTCGGGTGGTTGCCTAGACGCAAGCAACCATCCAGATACACGGGACGCAAGCCAAGCTTGTTTTACTAAAAAAACAACGAATGAGAAAACAAATGGCTGATGCTGCATTGATCGCCACCAAGAGAGAACTATATTTAAGAAAACCACTACACTTTAAGGCTTTTGAATTTTGTATAGCGTTTTAAATAAATAGGTGTTTTATTCATGAAAAAACTGTAATGTTTCAAGTATAAAATTATAAATCTGGGTATCATCACAAAACACTATAATTGTGTTGTGGGGGCGTGAACACAGCGGGAGACTAGCCCCAGTGGATGTCCGGTGTATCCCCGCTGTAGATGTGAACTTTAGCAAGGGCAGGGTGACCCTAACTCCGGGTCTGTAACGTGCGTCACGCAGCAGTAGACAATTTTGGTATAGCGTTGCTGGCGCTTACATACGCAATATGTAATAATATAGAGTACGCTAAAAATTACCTGCTCGGTCCGATTTTAGTTGTGCGTTCCGTAAACGTTGCCGAGTAAACATCTCGAACGATCTTGATACAGTTTACCAGAGCCGTAAAAATCCACGTGCTTACAACAGCGTCACCATGCTCCTCAAAATAAGTATTGAAAATGAAAACGTTTCGAATCATTTTTGTTTCAAATTAAACCCAGCCGCAGCTGCCTGGTCAAGTGCGCCTTTTTGCGAGATACGGAGTCTCGGAGGTTACGAGACGAGAAGAAAAGCAGCTTTTATCAATGCTATCGCGGGAAGAACTTCATGACCTACTGACGCCCTCAGCACGGCGACGGCGCTTTTTTTTTTGAGAGAGTTGTTCGTTCGTCGGCGGTGAACTGCGCAAAGGGGCGTTGAGCGGATTGCAACGTTCACGCACATTGTGAGCTGTGAACATTTGCACTATACAGTGCTTGAGGTGCACACCGATCTGATTCGACTGCGGTAGGCTTCGGAAAGAATTGCAGAACTGAACACCACGTGATTTCACAATTAAAACTCAACTTCGCGAACACCACGTTGCCCATGCTACGCCATTCAAGGCAACGGTCATCTTGAAACGTGCTCTTGCTGGCCCCGAGATATCTCTAGAGTTTCCCGCGAAACGCGCTAACCCGCAGCGCAGAATCATCATCGTTACGTGCGTACGGAATACGCTAGCCATTTTATGGGGTTTGGTGCATGCGCACTGCTGACACGCAAATATTTCTGCGTACGCACAACTTTAACGTACGGTGAACTAAAACTCTAGTAATACACAATCGAAAGTAGGTACGGATACTGATCCAGATTGAGACGGGCAGGGGTGTAGATAGGATCCCTCGTCTCCACAACGCGATCTTTCGCTCCGCGTGCTCCGAGTTGGGGGGCATTAACATACTCGACCACAACGTTTGTCTCTGTCTTTCCCAATCTATACAATTTTTTTTTGTATAGATTATAATGTATGCGAAAAAATTACATGGTTTCAATTAAACCAGTAGTTGCAATAACGCCGAGGAAAGCTTCTACACTTGAATGCTGCCGCTATGTTGCAATCTACGATTTTGTGCTCTGCCTGACTTCAAGCAAGCGCTGCGTCCGCGTACAGTTTGAAGGGCGCGTAAAATGAAATTCGAAAATTTCTACATACTTTCTCTGAAATAAAATGTACCGGATGGACGCACATTTTTTTATTGCTGACAATGAAGAAGTTGATATCTAAAAAAATAAAAAATAGACATTGGCGCCCTTAAAAAAATACACTTTATATCTACAACTGTTCTAAAGAACTACTGATCCTTGAGATTTATTGGTAGGTTATACAAAGCAATCACATTAATTTTATGTAAATATTTTATTCAACTTGCAAGTTTTACAATTTAAGTAAGAAAAAATCTCACGTCTAGCATAGTTTTCCGCTTTATTATGCAATAAATGAATAACTCAGTGCAAAAAACGAAAGTAATCGAGATAAGTATTTTATTTTCAACGATATCTTTGAATAAAAATCGCTTTTAGCATTCTGGTAAGACTATAGACGGCGCAGAACAACTACCTAAGGCTATAAAAAAAAAAAGTGTTCGCACCAGAGACCGCACGTGCCTGTGCTCTATCAGAGTGACATAAAAAACTAAAGGTGATAAAACAAAAAGCCCGAAATCGATCGCCAGAAGACTCCATACAAAGCAAGCACAAAGCGACACCGATCTCTTTTTCTTCTTTTTGTTTTTGTTTTGGCGCGTAAACCTCGAAGAGACGGATCCTTGATCACGAACTACCTCACGCAAACGACCCTACCACTTGGGCACTTCGACAGTCATTGCACACACAAACACACAAAAAATTCTCATATGCGCTAGTCTCAAGCACCAGCATCGGAGTAAATCGTATAAATAAAATAACCAGCTACCGTGCTTCAAGAGGTTGAAGACGGGATCTCACGCAGCGCGGGCAGAACTCTGACGACGACAACCAGGCAGGGTTGAAGTCTCTGTCTACAACAGCTGCGTCTTTCGCCCAGGCTAAGCCTCCGCGCGGAGACCCATAAATTGATTAGCGGCCACTGGCTTCCAAGTATCGCGGGACGGGCTGGAAGGTGAGCTTAGCTGGCGCGTTCGAGCGCCTATTCTTGTTTGTGTGGTTGTTTATGCCCTACCGAAGGAAGGAGGCCGCTGTCTCAAGGCAGTGGGAATGAATGGCATAGTAAACATCCGTAATTTCTATTCGCCCTCAGTCTAGCACCGGAACTCTTGTCATGGGTCTCGCAAAAGCGGCAACGTATACCCCGGCAGCGCTCCCCTTAATTTTCTCGTCTCGGTGGTAAAGCGACCAATATACGTATTAACGAGTATTGCATTCGAGAGCGGTGACCTTCTCAAGAAGTTCCTTAGTTGAAAAACCTTACCTCCTTTTTTAAATACCAATAATTTTCGTAAGCAATTATCAACATTTCCACGCCCTTTAATATGTGAACACCTAAATCTCGTGACGATCCCCGGTGACGTAATTAAGTCATCGCAACGTGTCATGAAAATGTCCTTGTTTTACTTGTGTATTACGCTTACCTCTAAAAACATTGCTTCAGTGAAGGAAACGTAAAACAATTTCTTTGAATACGCATATATTTACGCACCGAAAGTCTCTCGGCTCTCCGCAACCTCCTGCGCACCTTAGATGGGATTCCAAGGTTTTGAATAAATCGGAAAAAATTAAGAAAAACATTCATATTAAAAATAGCGCAAAAGATACGGGACAAAAAGACGGAAGAAGCACGCAGGACAAACGCTAATATGTATGTCCACTACCAACTTGCCCAGCAGACCAAGCTTTTACAAGAAAAAACACTCGCCAGTAAAAAAAATTTTGGATACGGATTTATCCGGAAAACTCCGAAAATGAAGCTACCAGTTGTACAAAACATATATCCTTGTTTTAACTTTTTTTCAGGTATCTTGTGTAAAGATTGGCGTTTTTTTTTTTTTTTCACCACTTTTATTTTTAATGTTCACAGAATATTTCCTTTAACACCTTGTCAGAAAAAGGAGGTAACTTTCCTCGACTCTAGTCAAAGAGATGTCGGCTTCCCTGCAGATGTACCTAGTGGCTTCCTCATGGACACTTCCCATTTCTAAAAGTTCACTGACTTTTCTCCGGCCTCCATTTGTTGAAAAGACTTACACCTTAACTAAATTGATGATGGAAGTCCGAGAGGTTCAGTCAGAATTTTCACTACCTCAACGAGATGGGCGGGATGTAAAAACTCTGTACTGAGTAAACCAAATAAGGCGTAGGTCTTAAATTGAGTACACTCTAAAAAAGGCCCGTGCGTCTACTTTCTCGCAGAACGCTCGGAGAGCCAATCACCCAACTTACGGAGGCAGCTCAGCGAATGACGATGCCGAAACATATGTTTAGACCAAAGAACGCAGCCTGAGTTGCGATATTCAGCGATGCAAGGGCGTGACGTTTTCGCATTCCTTAATGTCACAACTCAGACTGCGTGACTCGGGAGGTGGTAAAGGAATTGAGAGGTGTCGAAAAGCTCAATCTTTGTCCATTTTTAAATTAAAAACTAGAACATGCAGGCAAAACCGGTTTTTTGTTCTTTACTTCAGGAAGGTCGAGACACCAACTCCCCAATTATTTAAGCAAAGCACTGAAACTGTTGCACAGCTCCTTTAAGAGAAGGAGTCCTGCGTAGAACTTTACACTCGTATTTCGTTTGACACACTCATCTTGGTAGAGCTTGGCTCGAGACAGGTGTGTTTATTTATTTGACTAAAAACTTATTTCCGACAAATAATGTATATTGTGAAAGGTTCTTTTATTTTAAATTGCTGCGGTAGATACAAAAACTTTCACATCACTCTTATTTTGCTCAAGAATAAGCTTTCAAAACGCTAAACTCCAAATGAAGGGCATCACATGTTTTGTCGAGATTATGAGCTGGTTCCCAAGCGTTCGATCGAATGCGCCGCGCCAGCAGGTTCCTGCGAATGAAAGCATTTCTGGTGATTAAACGATTGCAACATCATCCTGACGGGTGGATATCACGTGTGGATATTGAATAAACAATATATCAGAAAAAGGGTGCACAAGACAGTCGATACAGGAGACTAGTGAATGTTGTACTTTTGAATCACGTTTGGATCAGAAAACTCAATCTCAGTAGAGACGTAAATTTTACGTTCATAATCACAGTGCGGATTACCACTTCGTTACACACTAAAAAGCAATGCTTATTT